ATATAAATAAACTAGAGAAGTTCACCTTAACTTTTGAACTTCTTACATAAATACAATACGTGACATACTAAAAATTTCGAAGACATGACTGAAACAAGTGATACAATCGATCATTTCCAATCTCTTCTTCATTGAACGTCATAGTTGATTGGTGTTAATTTTATTCATTATTTTTAACAATGTCTTATTTGATTTAATATAAACATTCGACAAAGGTTGCTCGAAGAGACATACATTCACATCATTACAAAAATATATCAAAATTTGATGTCTGACAAACATTTACAATTATGATATAATAAGATTGTATATATATAACGAGAAAAAAAAAAGTTTTTAGTTCTTTATTAAAAGAATAGAAATATATATATGATATATTTGTTCAAGAAGAATTTCAAATAAACGGGTAGATTATGGGCATGAGTGTGACTAAGGCGAAAGAGAAAATTCAAACCAGAGCTCCTGACAGGGTGAAAATTTTCCCCTATCCTATTCTTCTTTCGTTTTCCCCTGTCCTTTCGTAAAAAAACGCGACCAGATGACAGCGTTCTTTGAAAATATTTTGCGAATAATTAAATGTATTATTGCCATTCTTTATTTGTTCCCTTTCAAAAATACGGTAACACATAAGGAGAAAAAAGATTTTCTTTTTACAGTAACCAATAATAGTTTCACGTAAATAAAAACACATAAGCGAACAAAACCAAAAATAAATTACGAGTAAATAGAGCACAAGCCGCATGAAAAAATTTCAGAACATATTAGTTTCAAATCTATTTTTTCCTTGCTTAAAATAGATTAAAATGCACAGCTTCGATCCAATTAAAGTCGAATTTTTCATACAAACCAGTGAAGTACTCCAATTTTTCTAATTTTTTTTATATAGATTTTAATCGATTAGAAATTATTATTCCATTTTATTAGACTAATTTTAGATAATAGTGCAATAACAAATACAATGGTGCCACTTGAAGATGAAACAAACTCCAAAGAAGAAATATTCGAAAACAACAATGACAACGTAGATATAGTAACCTAGTCTACGCTTAGAATAGCATTATATCTCATCAAACGAAGATGAATTGTTCAATCAGGTCACATTAAAATACTTTGTCGAATTCATGACCCAATCGAACTATCGCACTAGAATTTCGTCTCTACAAAGTATAGCCAGCAGCGACAACTTTTAGGCTTAGTGTCTCGAATAAAAGTGGACCATTTTCAGCACAATTCGTACAGAACAACTAATTCAAGCATGTGTCCTGTCCTGTTAGAAGCCCTGATTCATTTGGTTCATTATTTATATATAATCATAAAGAAGAACTGCTAAATATTGAAATAAAATTTTTATTCAATTTGATGAATATATTAGTTTGATAACATATAATTCATTAAATTATTTAGAAAAACATTCATTTTTTACTCTTGCTCAATATCGAACTTTAACTATATAAACACTTTAAAATATTTTAATTGTTTATAACTTAATATTATACACTGGGATATTTAAATATAAAAAAAATCAGGTTTTTATTATTGCAAATATAAACATTTGATCGATAATATAAATTAGTAAATCAGAAAGATTATCGAACAATATTATTATTACTTTTTATACAAAATCATAATTCATGTTGATTGAATTATATCACAAACTTCTTCGATGATGAACACAAAGCAAAGTCAATTATCTATTTTACTAATAAATTTCCATTAAAAGATTCAGCTGAGAATGACACATAGAAACATGAAGAAAACACTAAGTTATTTCATTTATTATATTTCTATAGAAAGGCTGATGAATTTTTATTAGGAAGATTATTAAGTTCTCTATAGTTCATATTCTACTTAATGAATAAATGCACACATCCAACTATAATTTTATGTCGAAAGAAAATAATTATGCCTGCTGAACGATAAGATGACGATTAAAATTAGTAGTCTACTCTCTTCCTCTACTTATTTTCTCCCTATGTACTTTGCTGTCAAATGAGCGACATCGTCGGCAACAACAAGGGAATCCATTTTGACACTATCGATTTAGATGCAATCCAGATTAGAATTTTCCCCAGGTATCTTATTCATGAAGGAGATGGGCTTGACTTGTATCTCTATTTGTTGATTGTTTGAGTGAAAAAATTCCTAATTTTCCACCATTTGAAAATTTTCTTTTTGGAGATGAAAATAAAAATGTTCTTAACATTTTCGTAACAATGGATTAGTTTCATAATAATTTCTTGGCTTCTGTTACATCTTTGCCAGTCATCTCTTCGTATATGATGAAATTGAGAAAAGTAGCTGTATGTTATAAATTATAGATATGAATATGTACAAAATTACGCTGAAAAACTAGAAATTTCAAACGTTCGATGTCTATTGTTATCTGCGGTCAAAAAATCATGTAATTTCGCAGTTTGACTTCTGAAAAAACCTTGATGCCCTTGTCACTAACAATTCTCTCTTCGAAAAAGCATTCGATGTTTTTATGAGCAATATATTAAGAGCTTTGTTTATATTAACTGCAGTGGAATATTTGCTAGAAATCTAATCTTCTTGTTGTAACTAAAATTAATGACTTCTTAAGGTATAAATAATCAATTGAACTCGTTTCTACAAACTGACTGGATTTCAAGCTTTCTCTAGTTTGTGTATCAATGGATACAATAGATACGATCATGGTAAGATACAATTACAACTTTTGTTTGAACATGCAAGCCATAAATAAAACACAAACTAAGTAAATAATCAGTTTCAACTTTCTTTTAGTAATTTACTAAAGTGTATGTTTTCAATCTTAGATGTTATTATATTGTAGATTTTAGAGCTCTATTTAAGCGAAGTTCTATCCGTACTAGCTATAAACGGTATTGATGATATGATTATTTTAAGTAATTAATCATTTTGTGAATCTATTAATTTCTTTCTAAACTTAAATATATATAGATTGGAATACAAATTTTGAAAATGAAAACATCATGACGATATTTTATATGGTTTGCTATTCAAAGGACAAGGAAGAAAATCAAAGGAACCTTTTTGTATGTAGCTAATTAATTAACGAAGTGACGAAAATGATCCATTTTTGTAATTCAAAAGACTAATACATAAATATTTATGGCAAAATCATAAAGGGTATGGCAATGTCTTTTTCTCATTTGAGAATTATACAAAGGAGGGAAGAATATCTGTGGGTTTGAATTAGCTTACAGCATTAGATATTGTCTAGTAGCAGATATCTTCTGTACAATTAATGTGAACTATATTTGTGAAGAGAAAGTTAGTCTGATGCAGAGTTTTTGCGCTCCATTGCTTGAGCTACCAATAATCCTAACTAACCATAAGACCCAGTGTATGTCACAACATACCAAGATAATTGGTTTCGGTCGAAACCGCCCATATGAGATGTCTTTTTGGCGTGTGTCCCACATGATTCGTTCAATATCCCGCAGGAACTTAACGGAAAAAACTAAAAGCATGGAAGCCTTATTCTAGAACAGGGAGCCATCGTACCTGGAACGGTGATTGTTTTGCAACGTTTCAAAACGAGAAATGGATAGAAACTCCACATGGTTTCCCCAGAAAACCTAGAAAAAATGCAAGAAACTCAGTGAAATAACAAAGAACTTGACTAGAAGTCCCTTGGAGCTCACTGTTTTCATCCGTTCATTTCGTTATAAATCGCATAACAGAAGTCATCATAACTTGATCGAAAAATGGTCAGTTATAGGAAGTTTGACTGAGTTTGAGCTCTATATAAGACAAAAATGGTTTTTGACTCTTGCGAATAGTTTCATGAGATTGAAACACTTACAAAACTGAGAAGATTTTGTTTTCTGCAAAGTAATCCATTGTTTCCAATTTCCGGTCACTTTTCATAGGAAACAATATACACACTTCAAAAGAAGATCCTGTGTTGGATAAAGGATAAAGAACGATGACTTCTAACAATTTTTCAAGACAAATATCTGATTCAGGCAACATGTCATTTTCAACTAATAAAATGAGTATAAGATGCGTCAAAAGCATCATTTTACGCTCACTTTTGATGAGAAACATGATTATTAGACTAGAATACGTATGTGTTTCTGGAAAAGGACAGAAATCATAGTTTTTGGATGAATTCTTTTGTGTTTCATATTTCTTGGTCCAAAGGCTTCTATTTAGACTTATTTATCGTTGCAATTAATTTGAATACTTTCTTATTATGTTTTTACTGGTTTTTGATGCTGCTCTTTCCTGCAACGAACACTGAATGTAATTAAATAATGATGACTGCTTTATAGATTAGTCTTCGAATTTCTCGCTAGTACCTAACAATATCTAACAATTCAGAACTATATCACAAGAAGCTAATCTTGTAATCGCATTCATTTTCGGTTTTTGTCTCCACAATATGGGCAAACAGAAAGCAATCCGCCGCGTATCCTTAGTCCAGAATCGAGTCGAAAATGATAAATGTACATGGATCTAGCTTTCAAGCGCAGCAAATGATGCGAATCGAGTGGAAAACGGAAACTAGAACCAATCTTTGGATATAGCAGTCAGAAATTCCGCACATCAGGCAATTTTTCACCTTAACTTTCTTACTCGGGTAATCAGCATGTGATCGGAAGGATCATTCAAGAAAAATATCCGTCAATGACTTATCCACAACCAATCTATAGTTGATGGCACCGAAATTTCAACACAGCATTTTGTAGTTACATATCGAACAATCTAGGCACTCCGCCATGATAGAAACAATAATCAGATGAATGAACTTTTCATCCTTACATAATCGATATTTACATGTTCACAGACAATATTATGCTTGTAGCTAAAAGTTAAAGAATTTCTCCAATTTATTGTCTAAGCTATTTATGAAATTCGAGTTTAGATAGATTTCGAGCTTCTCAAAAATGAACACTAAAATATAATTTGATTAGTATATAATATATCCTTATGTCCGCTTATGATAAATGTGTGCATATGGCATATGAAAATGAACATAGATAGTTGATTCATGAAGCCATCGGTGGTGAAAGGAATTTGCCACTGAATAAAACAATATTTTGTCGACTTTCACGAATGAAAAATAAAAATGGTCGATCAGCTTTGAATTCAATAGGCTGTTCTTCCTCCAGTATTGCTGAACAACCACACAACATGACAACTGCAGTAGCTGCTGCTGCTTCCGATCCTTGTAAAGAAAAAAGAAGAATAGAAAAGTGAATACAGATCAAGAATATATTATTAATGTGTTTCATTATGTACTGCATTAATGTCTTTTATTTGTTCAGCAAAAGATTTCAATAAAATTTGCTAGTAAATTATGTCGTTTTTTGTTCGTTTTCTTGACAGATAAACGAAAATAATCCATGTGCTCCCAGTCTACTGGAAGATTCAAATTGTGTGAAGTTTTCAGATTATGCTGTGACTGCAGTGAAGAGCCTTATCATTGAATTTTCAGCTCGACATCATCATGTTTACATTAGATGTTAATCAAACTAGGGTCAACATCACTTTTTGGCAACCTCTCAAGAACTATTTAAAAAATGTAAATCTTTTGTGAATCTTTTGTGGTGTGACAGCTGACTTGTCATTTGTAGCCACACAATCAGAAAGAAAGTGAAAAAAACAGCTCCCTCATCATCTGCAGCTTGGCATGGTTTTTGAAAAAACACGAAATAAAAGCGTAGAATGAAAGCCTACAAGGAATTCCAGTTTGCCCAATTAGCTAGTTTTGATCTTTCCTATTACGAAAATCTTATGTGATTCGAATGTTTATGGGTCCAAATCAATTTTGAGTAAGCTTCAATGTCTTATGAATATAATGATCTCACACCATAACCATTACTGTTGCTTCATACTCTTTGTAGCATAGGTGAAGTAAACCAATTCTTTGTCTCTCAATCTCAATCTTTATCAGCAAGCTACTTTATAAAAATGTATAAAACATACCAAGTTCGTTTACATCGATAAATGCTTTATGAATAACCTAAAATTTTATATTAAAAACAAATACGTCATTCTTATTCACAATTTGTCTACCTTGCTAATGAATAAACCATTTCTATCATCTTGTTTACTGACAATACCCGTAAAATCTGCTTTGGTATCAATAAATGCATTTACCATTCCAAGTTGTATAAGAACATCATTTAATTCAAATGCAGCTTCCATTTTAAATTTTGGTAAATATAAAAGAAGTTCTTTTCTTGTTGTATTTTCATCACTTAATACTTGTTGCATTAAGCCTGGTTTTGATGTTAATTTTTGCTCAACTTCATCCAATGTAACACCTTGCTTAGGTAAAATTATAGTAAAAACAAATTCAACATCGTAATTATCACTTCTATATGGTAAATGAGCAATTTGTACATGTAAATAGCTATCTTCAGCATAACCGAATTTTTCTTTTTGATACATTAGTTTTATTTTTGAAACATTACCATTAGCTTCATAAAAATCAGCATCTGGATTTGTTAAACTTTCTTTAAACTGTTCCATCCATGTACCCTATTAATCAATTAATAAAGAAAGAAATTATTTTATTTTCATCAACACTAATATTCACCTTAAAATAAATACAATTAACAATAATTAATCGTGTATCAGATGAAACATCAGTTTTTGAAAGTAAATTCTGAATTAATTTATTAGTTTGTTCTTCAACCCATGCATTTATTGTTTGAACAGCATGAGCACTGTCATTTTCAAAATCTTCAAGTTTAATATCAGCTTTGAAAGAATTTTGAACACGACTTAAATAATCTGGTTGAATTTTATATGCTTTTTGTGCATAAAGACGATTAGCTAATTTAAGTTTAATTTGTTTATCATGATCAGCAATAGAAAACACATGCATAATTTTTTCAGCTGTNTGGAATTAGACAGAATTCCTAAAAACTCATGGCAATTATGAGTAGTTTCGACTCAACTCAATTCCAAAAATCCTGAAAATTGATGCAGCTCGATCAAAGTCATATGAACCTGTTACATTCAATCATGATCGAGTTGCCAGAATCGGATGAAATCGATTCCTCGAGTGGAACTGATTCCTCAGTGTTCAACACCGTGGAATACGATGTATTATTATTCATGAGTATGGGTACCAGAGATCCAAACAGGTCTAATTTTCGTATGTATGGTCTGTCTATAATGAAGTATGTACTTCCTCAGCCTACCATGCCTGTCATTTGTTTCCATCGACCTGGCCTGTTTGTAATGGTCTGTCTATTTTTTTTACATCCTTTTATTACAATAGAACGCAGGCAAAAGATTGCTTCTATAAGAAGGCAACAAAGTCATGCACACCGAAATAACGTGATTATATGAAACTTTTCTTAATTTAATATAATACAAATCTATCGAGAATCGATAAATAAGAAGACATTAACATTTGAGAAAACTCTGGCTTTGAGTAAGAACATTTTGACTGAATTTAATGAACTAGTTAAAAAATACTTCAAATCTCGTTATATTGCGACATTTTAACTATAAAATAGGCAACAAGGAAAATGAGTTCATGATAAACGTAGGATACTAATAATAGCCGATATGATAGTGTGAGCGGTAACTTAGCGAAACGGGTAAATAAACCAAATAAAAAAATGGACAACGAACATAGTAGTCATAATCGATTATTAGTTCTGATTACGCCCTTTCAAAATGAGAAAAAAATTATTTGTCATTTTCTACTGAAGAAAAATACTTCATGGTGTATTTTGATACCTATATTTTCTGTGCGAAAAGAGAAGTTTTTTTTTCTTGAATATTTAGGAAAAGATGACAGACAGGTGGTCTATATATTTTAAGCGACCTCCCTGATCTGCGATAGGCTTGGAAATCAGGACCTGCATCTGTATTTGTCTGAGACAAGCAGACTCGATGTCCTGTTTGGATTTCTGATGGATATGATCAAGCAAAGTGAATCTAGGAATTCATTGCATGACGGAAAACTGTTGTTTATAGGAAGAAACTGTTAACACTGAAAATTGAGGCGGATATTTGGCAATATTTTGAAAAAGGTGTTAAGTACCAGTGATGAGGCAGATGTGATGCTCCCAAAAGACACCGACGATGTTTTCCTGACTTTTCGTATTCACATGCACACCTCGTATGGTACTAGGTCTTTTCGTCGCATGCACAAAATGTCGCAGTGCAAACATCTGTGCAATACCAACTAACTTCGTTGCAAGTAATATTGAAAAGTAAACAAAAATAATAAGGATACACTATAGTTTCGAAAAAAAATTCAAAAATTGGATTGGAAAAAGATTCACATGTCCAAAAGCTGCGAGGAGTTTCATTATCATATTAGAAGAATTAATTTGTACGAAAGTCTTTCAGGTTCTCTCAACGAAATGAAAGTTTTGAGTCATACTGCGACGGTTTCGTATATTTCTTGAAAACATTTCTGTTTTCTACTTAATTTAACACACTGTCAGAGAAGCCTTCTCAGATTTTGTAAATGTATGAATCTTTTTCAAGTCAGTTTTCGAATTTTTTTCTGAAATTATAAGTTTTCCTGTTATTTATTTTTTCATTTTTCACTATTATCTATGTTACATTTTAAAATATTACGACATTTTGCCCGCAACAATTCGTATAGCGACAATCTGTCCATTCGGCAGTCTGTTCTATGGTGAAAAGTAGTGTCACAATCTTTCATATCTTTGCTGTATTAATTTGCAACATTGCGCCGAGGAAAAATACTAATAGTTTCTAAATAAAAATTTTCAACACCGTAAATGTTTTCTTTCAGAAAATGGTCAGCGAATCGTTAGATGAGCGCCACTTGTATGTTAACAAGATGGATTAATGGTCACATTTTTTGAAGACAGTTCGTACTGGCTGAAACGACAAGTTTGTCGATTAATGGGCTGAAAGAGAAGATGATCTTATCTCATAAACTTCATTGTAGCTTCACTTGATACCATCAGATTTATTTTGATGGGAACATATTAAGATAAATGTCTATACAATGACTACGAAAGATCTGAATAATTTACTGCTCAGAATAATGCTGAAAATTGAAGCAATCAAAAAGAAATGTCACATAATACTTTTTCAAACGATTAAAGAAAGGCAAAATTTTTCTTTTTCGACTTAAGGGGATAACTTTCAACTATGTTTTTGAAGTTTGTTAATAAAAATAAGAAGTCAATGGACTCATCCATTGTACAGATAAAAATTAGTCGATAAAGCTCAATTAATAGTGAAGTTATATGAAATTACTTTTGAGAAACCCTATAGCATTGCTTTCTTAATGTTTTTTGATCAGTGAAAATATACTTCATTAAGTAAATGATACATTTAATTGTCCAGTATGGTTTAGAGATCTTTGCGAATGAATTTTAATTTGTTTAAAAATCAACTAACTGTGTCTATGAGATATTTTCTAATTCGATGATTATGACGGTTTTCTGCTGCGTAATGTAAGAATATCCTTAGAACGAAAATAACTCTTTTCTATGATTATTCTCAATCAAATAATCGAAAAAAACTTTTCATTTTATTCAATCAAATCTAATTGAAACAAATGATTAGATCACAACAATCGTGGTCATGATTGCATTCATGTTGCAAATGTAATGACCATCTTAGATCTTATTTTAGTCCGAATTTTGAGACTGAAATTATCAGATATTATTCCACAATAAGACTATATACACACATCTATATTTCCTGACCAATATCCGGTTCAATTGAAAAATGCTTTGATCTATAGTTTTTATGAATATTAATGATAGATATGATATTTAAGAGATAGAGATGTCCATCATGACCGAAATTTTGTAACTGGTGCGCCGCGGTGATAGAAAAGGAAAACTACTGTGCTAGTGTCACTGCGCTGGCAGTGAAAAAATATTGTTTCGAATTTCACTGCTATGATTGTACTAAGTATAGCTGTTGTCATTATTCCATGAAATTCATTGAGTCTTGGAATTTTACACTTTTTGACATTGAAATTCTCTGCAAATTAATGCAGTTTTGCAATGTTCCCCAAAACACAGCTGAGATCTTTGCCGTGCTCGTATCGCCAAAGAGCAATGCTGCGATGAATATCTCTGATTTAAGATAGACAGCAGAAACGAGAGCATAGCAAATCTCGAATTATTATTAGTTTTCACTAAGTTTCTGATTTTTGATTTTTGAAGGAGAACCTTTTAAAATGATTAGAAAAGCAGTAATGAGAAATTTACTCATACTATGTGTTTCTAGACTTTAGAAATATATGTATTCCTTAAACAGAGTTCTAAAAGTTTCCTGTTAATAGAGTGTAGATCCAGATACAGAACCAACTCAAGGGGCTCTACTCTAAAGTAAGATATAACTTTAACTTGATTATTATAAAACTACCGTCAAGATTGCCTTCAAAATGTGTAGGATGTACTAGTTGTCGAATATGAATAACTGAAAAATAGTATTGCATATATTCGAAGCGATTATCAGTCTTGGATTAAAAATTTGATTGAAAGTGTTGAGAGTACAGTTCCAAACCGAGTTCTAGGTCTGAATTTAAAAATTTTGGATCCAATGGGCCTGAGAATATACATAAAAAAGACCGGAACGAAAAGATGTCGATCATGTAAAAGTATCCAAGACAAATGTCGAAAAGGTAGAAAATAGTCTAAATAAAGAACTTACTGTTGAATTGTGTTTTACTTCTGTCTGTCATTGCCTTATGATATTTTTGGTAACTGTTCATTGTGTAACGCGATTAGTAGAAAAAGAAGACAAATAACTATCAACCATAAAAAGCATGGAAAGTAGTATTAGTTTTTTTATTATGGATATATTAATCTGTTTTTTCTCAGTAATTCAGTAGTAATTCATTTCATGTCAACTTTCACTGATATTCCATATTTTCGTGTTTCAAATAAAGACAAGCCTTTACTGATGTTAAATGATATCGTGTATAAAAAAAATGAATGCTGTTGCTCAAATTCGACTAAAAACAGCAACGACTAATGCAATACAACAATATATTAATACATGAAATGAACTTTATAAAAATGATGAAATAGATCTTAAGGGATTATTAGGTCGTTTATCATTAACTGTATCAAAGTAAAACAAATAAACCTTAATGGTTAACATATTCTGACTATTATTTTACTTTTTTTTTCTATTGTCTGTAATATTATTATTCTATGATTTATTTAAAAAGCTTTTTTCTACTTCATATATTAATAAAATTATCTACATCTCAATAATCTAACTTAATGTATGCAAATATTTTCCACATTTTTTTCTTTCGATGTAACTATGCTTTGATGTGTTCACCATTCAATTTTTTCTGTTTCGGTCTTTTCATATCATTCAATCCGAGTGATTATTAAGTTTAACAAATAAAAAAATCATTTAAGGAAAAAAGCTGCTGAAATAACAATGAATTTTAGGGTTAATCGACTCTATCTGTTTACAAATCTTCTGAAGACATGTCTGAGCAAAGCATGAAAAAACCTCTATAGAATCTTTCACTATGTCTTTCGATGAGAACAGAAATTTTTTGAATAAATAGTAGGTAACACGAATCTAACAAAGAGTGATCTTTCTAATCATAAAATATTTGTTTGACACTTAGCCAAATCTAACGGAGGTCAAACTAAAACCTCCACTAACACATTTGATTAATATCAATAATGTCCTAATTTGATTTTACTCATCGTGAATTAATCAATAGCTACTATCGTTTTTTCTTCTTCAAAATGAAAGTCAAAATTCTTACGAGAAAACTGCCTAGACTGATAACATTCATTTGAACTAATATTTTTAAAAATAGGTCAGAGTCAGAATGAAGATGAAAGCTTTAAAAGAATCTAACTCATTATTATTTAGTTTGACAAGAACAAGCACAAT